TCCATACAAATTTGAATGGCAGGTTATTGGTGTTATTTAGGCGTTTCAATTCACTCTCTGTCCCTTCCTCCTTTAATCACATTCTGTTAAAGCCCTGTGTTCTCCCTGCTTCAGCTTCCTACTTAGCTCTTATCACAATTTGAAATAATCTTGATTACTCTACCACACTGAGCTCCATGAGAGCAGGCATTGTGCTGTTTCCTTCATTGCTATGTGTCCAGTGCCTAGAACAGTTCCTGGCACAGAAATATAAATATATTAAAAAATTTTAATTGATACATAATAATTGTACCTATTTATGAGATACATATGATATCTTGATACACATATACAATGTGTAATAACCAAATCAGGGTAACTGAGATATCTGTTACCTCAAACATTTTTCATTTCTTTGTACTGGGAACATTCAAGATCCTCTCTTCTAGTTATTTTGGAAAACCCAATAAATTGTTAACTATAGTTGCCCTATATGCTATATAACACTAGAACATATTCTTCCTATCTAGCTGTAATTTTTAAAAAATTTATTTATTTTTATTGATACATATTAGATATACATATTTTCTGGGTATGTGTAATAATTTGATATATTCACATAATCAAATCAGGATAATTGGGATAGCCATTACCTTAAATATTTATTTTTTCTTTGGCTATGACTTTGTACCCATTAATCAACCTCTCCCTTTTCCTCTCTAACCCCTTTCCTTCCCAGCCTCTGGTAACCACTATTCTACTCTCTACTTCCATGAGATCAGCTTTTTAAAGCTCTCACATATGAGTCAGAAAATGCTGTATTTGTCTTTCTGTACCTGGCTTATTTCACTTAACGCAGTGGTTCTCAAACTTCCTAACACAGTGATTCTCAACCTTCCTAATGCCATGATGTATTTTTATTGTTACAAAGGGGTCCTGACCCACAGGTTGAGAACCACTGATGACATAATATCCTCCAGGCTTATCCATGTTGCCTCAAATGATGGCATATCATTCTTTTTGATGACTGAATATTCGATTGCTTATGTATACCACATTTTCTTTGTCCATTCATTCGTTGATGACACTTAGGCTGATTCCTTATCTTGGCTATTGTGAATAGTGAAGATGTCAATTTGAATATATACCTAGTAGTGGGATTGCTGGATCATATGGTAGTTCTATTTTTAGTTTTTTGAGGAGCCTTCACATAGTTTCTATAATGGCTGTGCTAATTTACATTTCCACTAATAGTGTGTAAGGGTTCCATTTTCTCCATATCCTTACAAGCATTTGTTTTTTGTCTTTTTGATAATAACCATTTTAGCTGAGGTAAGATGATGATTTATTGAGTTTTTGATTTGCATTTCTCTGGTTATTAGTGATATTAAACATTTCTTCAGGTATCTGTTTGAGTATTTATATATTTTCTTTCAAGAAATATCTATTTGCCCATTTTAAACTCACTTTTTGTTTTGCTGTTGATTTCTTGTATATTCTGGATATTATTCTCTTCTATGGATAGTTTGCAAGTATTGTTTCCCATTCTGTAGGCTGTCTCTTCACTCTGTTAACTGTTTATTTTGCTGTGTACAGCTTTTTAGTTTGACATAATGCCATTTGTTTTTGCTTTTGTTCCTTATACTTTTGAAATCTTACTTTAAAACTTTTTGACCAGGCCAATGTTCTGAAACATTTCTCCAATGTTTTCTTCTGGAAGTTTTACAGTTTGGGGTTTTACATTTACTCTTTAATCCATTTTCAGTTGATTTTTATATATGATGAAAGATAGGGGTCTAATTTTATTCTTCTGCATATGGATAATCAGTTTTCTCAGTACCATTTATCGAAGAGACTATTCTTCCCTGAGTGAGCATTTTTCATGCCTTTGTTAAAAATCCGTTGGCTGTAAATGTATGGATTTACTTCTGGATTCTTTTTTCTGTTTCATTGGTCTGTGTGTCTGTTTTATGCCAGTACAATGCTGTTTTGCTTACTATGGTTGTGTGTTGTATGTTTTTAAGTCAGGTATTATGGTGCCACCAGCTTTGTTCTTTTTGCTCAGGACCACTTTGGCTATTAGAGTCTTTATGATTCCATATAAATTGTAGGATTTTTTTATTTGAAGAATGTCATTGATATTTTGATAGATATTGCATTGAATCTGTAGATTGTTTTAAGAAGTATAGACATTTTAATAATTCTTCTAGTTCATGAGCATGGTATCTCTTTACTCCTTATTATGTCCTGTTCAATTTTTTTCATCAGTGTTTTATAGTTTTCCTTGCAGAGATCTTCCACCTCTTTGGTTAAATTTATTCCTTTGTATTTTTTTGGTAGCTATTGTAAATGGGATTTTTCTCTTGATTTTGTTTTCAGATTGCGTGTTATTGGTGTATAGAAACATTACTGATTCTTGTATGTTGATTTTCTATCCAGAAACTTTACTCAGTTTATCTCAGTTCTAACAGGATTTTTATTTTTTATTTTTATTTTTGGTAGAGTCTTTATGCTTTTCTAAATGTAAGATCATAACTACAAACAGGGACAGTTTGACCTCCTCTTTCCCAGTTTGGATGCCCTTTATTTCTTTCTGTTGCCTGATTGCTTGGGCTAGGACTTCTAGTACTATGTTGAATAAAAGTGGTGAAAATAGTCTTGTCTTTTTACAGATATTAGAGAATAGAATTTCAACCTTTCCCCATTCAGTATGATGTTAGTTATAGTTTTGTCATATATGGCCTTTATCATTTTGAGATATGGTCGTTCTATACGTAATTTGTTGAGTTTTTATCATGAAGGGATATTAAATTTTGGCAAATGCTGTTTCTTTGCTGAGATGATCATTTTTTTCTATTCCTATTGTTGATATGATATATCATATATTAACTTGTTTGCTGGTATTTCATTGAGGATTTTTACATTTGTGTTCATCAGGGATATTAGCTGTCTCTCTCTCTCATTCTCTCTTTCATCCTTATTTCCTTGTGGTATCCTGGTAATTCTAGTCTTGTAGATTGAGTTTAGAAGATCCCCTTCCTTCAATTTGTGAATAGTCTGAGAAGAATTGGTACTAGTTTTTTAAAAGTTTGGTAGAATTCAACAGTGAAGCCATGTGGTCCTGGGCTTTTGTCTTTTGGGATATTTTTTATTATTGATTAAATCGGTCAAATACTTGTTATTTGTCTATTCAGGTTTTCATTTTCTTCTTGGTTCAGTCTTGGTAGATGGTGTATGTCTAGGAATTTATCCATTTCCAATTTATTTGTGTACAGTTTTTCATAATAGTCCCTAGTGATCCTTTGTATTTCTGTAGTATGAGTGGTAATATCTCCTTTTTAATCTTTGATTTTATTTATTTGGAGTTTATTTATTTATTTATTTTTTTGTCTAGTAATGGTTTGTCAATTTTTTCTTTTTAGTCTCAATTTCATTTATTTTGGCTCTTTATTATTTCTTACCTTCTACTAATTTTAGGTTCGATTTGTTCTTTTCTAGTTCCTTGAGGTACATAATTAGATTGTTTATTTGAACTCTTTCTAGTTTGTTGATGTAGGCGTTTGTCGCTACATACTTTCCCCTTAATACTGCTTTCTGTATTCTAGGGGTTTAGGTATGTTGTATTTCCATTTTCATTTGTTTCAAGAAATTTTAAATTTTCTTCTTAATTTCTTTATTGCTCCATTGATCATTGAAGAGCATATTGTTTAATTTCCATTTATAATAGACTTTGTTAAGTTGACCTGATTTTCATAGACCAGACATGCACCATGTATATGTATCAGTACAGTGGGCTTAGTTCCTTATGTTGACCACCGCCATATGTTGTCAATTTACAGAGGCTCTACTATATTTGTATATTTTATTGATTTTTGTTTTTCTTCCATGTGGTCAGGAAAGATTCTTAATATGGATTTGACTTTTAAAAATTTAAGACTTAGGCCAGATGCGGTGGCTCATGCCTGTAATCCCAGCACTTGGGAGGCCACGGTGGGTGGATTGCCTAGCTCATGAGTTCAAGACCAGCCGAGACCCAGTCTCTAAAAATACCTGGGCGTCTGTAGTTTCAGCTACTTGGGAGAGTATAGGTTGCTATGAGCTAAGATGCCATGGCACTCTACTGAGGGTAACCAAGTGAGAATCTGTCTCAAAAAAAAAAAAAAAATGGATTTAAGACTTATAAGTGTGCACTTATAATGCACCCAGAATATGTGCATTGTATCAGCTAGGTGTAAATTTACTTCACCCTTCTCCCACCTTTTTGATTTCCATTGAGTTTTACTTCCATGTGTGTGCATAAAATGTACAAAAGCAAATTATGTAACCAAAACATGTGTATCCCCATCATATTCTGAAATAAGAAAAACCCAATATAAAAAAAATTAAGATGCATTTTGTGGAGTAACATATGATCTGTCCAGTAAAGTGTTCCATTGTTGATGAGAAGAATATGTATTCTGCAATTGTTTGGTGAAGTCAGATTAGTAAATATTTGTTGCATAAAGTTCCTTAAGTTTTAGAGCCTCAGTTTTTCATTTGTCATATAGAATAATAATTGGCTAGTAAATCAAAGTTTGTGGTTGGGTGTGGTGGTGTGTGGCTTTAGTCCCAGTTATTCTGGAGTCTGAGGCAGGAAGATTGCTTGAGCCCAGGAGTTTGAGGTTACAGTGAGCTGTAATTGTGCTTTTGTACTCCAGTTTGGGGAACAGAGAGAGATCCTGTCACTTTAAAAAAAAAAAAAGGCCAAGTTGTACTTAGAATTAAGTGAGATAATAAATGTATGTGATTTACTACAATGCTTAGCTCATAGTAAGTGAAACAATAGTTTGTCATTGTTTCATTATGATTATTTTTTATTATAATGTTTGCTTCCATTTTCCTGTGTTCTTCTCATGCCTGTTATTACAACCAGTAAACCATCCAGAGTATTATGAGCATTTGGGAGTTACAAATGCTAACTGGTTAGATACTTGCAATTTAATCCTAACTTGGTTCTCTCTTGGTCATGTTTTTCTGTACAGGTCCTGCAGCTGGGCTCAGACATCCTTCCCCAGTACAAGCAAGAGGCGCCAAAGACTCCCCCTCATATCATCTTACATTACTGTGTTTTTAAGACCACATGGGATTGGATCATCTTGATCTTGACCTTCTATACAGCCATCTTGGTCCCTTACAATGTTTCCTTTAAAACCAGGCAGAACAATGTGGCCTGGCTGGTTGTGGATAGCATCGTAGATGTCATCTTTTTGGTGGATATTGTGCTCAATTTTCATACCACCTTTGTTGGACCAGCGGGGGAGGTGATTTCTGACCCCAAACTTATCCGCATGAACTACTTGAAGACGTGGTTTGTGATTGACCTTCTGTCCTGTTTGCCATATGATGTCATCAACGCTTTTGAGAACGTGGATGAGGTTAGTGCCTTTATGGGTGATCCAGGGAAGATTGGTTTTGCTGATCAGATTCCACCACCACTGGAGGGGAGAGAGAGTCAGGTACATTCCTCAAATCTCAGACCTTGTTGTCATGTCTTTAAAACTGAATTAAATGTGGGTGGTCAACAGCAGAGTAATTAAGTGGGTGGGAACTAGCATGATGGATGTCCAGAACAGAGGGAGCATGCTTGATTGATACCCTTGCCTGCTATTCCCATCCTTTGGAGGTTTGGTGGTTCTGCATGTCAGTGAATGGGTATGGAAGAGACAGAAAACTTACTCTTACTCAATGTGAGTGTAAGCCACTGGCTTGGGGTGGTGGGGCTGCAGGAGCAGATATGCATGGCTACTGCACTGGTGAATCACTTGGTATTCAGTTGCTGAATGTTTACTTATGTATTGATTATTCTAATTATGGGAATTTTTCTTTCATCTTCTGCTGAACTTTAGCTGTTTTCATAGCAATTAACTCCTCATAACAGTAGTATCATATTTTTCTAAGTTTGTTCCTTCCTTCCTTCCTCCCTCCCTCCCTTCCTTCCTCTTGTCCCCTTCCCTCCTTTTCTTCCTCCCTCTCTCCCTCCCTCCTTTCCCCTCCCCCTCCCTCTCCCTGTCCTCTCCTCCCTTCTCCTCTCCTCCCTCCCTCCCTTTTTTCTTCTTTCTTTTCTTTGTTGCAAATTTCAGAATGAGTTATTTCTTTGCTAAAAATGAGTTTTGGAGGTGACAATTTGCTGAGTTATTAAGATAATAGCTATAGTTAAGAGAAGTGGCATTTTTGATCACACTGCTGTTTTAGTCCATTTTGTGTTGCTAGAATACCTGAGACTGGGTAATTTATAAAGGAAAAAGGTTTATGTGGCTGACAAGTCTGATGGCTGGAAAGTTCAAGATTGGGCATCTAGTGAGGGCCTCAGGTTGCTTCCACTCATGGCAGAAGTTGAAGGGGAGCTGGCATGTGCAGAGATCACATGGTGAGAGAGGAAGAGAGAGAGAGAGAGAAAGCAAGGGCATGAGAGAGGGGAGGTACCAGACTCCGGTTCTCCCTGGAACTAATGTAATGAAAATCCACTCATCTCTGAGAGAGGGCATTAATCTATTAATGGAGGATCTGCCCCCATGACCCAAACACCTCCTATTAGTCCCCACCTCCAACATTGAGGGGCCAAATTTCAATATGATGTTTGGAGGGGACAAACATCCAAATCATAGCAACCATTTTGGATTGTTAGTCCTGCAGGCAATTGAAGGAATTAAAAGAAGATAAAGTCCCTGTAAATGTGTTAGACTTAGGACATGTTCAGTTTGTTCGAATGGGTGTCTGGGACATGTAGCAAAAAGTGATTTTCTACTTTGAAAAAGCAAAGATATCAAGTCATTGCAAAGAAAAATATCAGATTCTTATCTAGTTTATGTTTTGTGGGAATTGATCTTCCTTTTTTGTAGAGAGGATTACAAAGGATCCCAAGGTCTGTTTGTCTGGGTTGTTAACTGGGTGGGTGTTCTAGGAGGCCACCTGAAGGCTGAGTTGAGGCATTGCACATTCTCAGGTCATGCTCCTAGGACTCAGCTTTGAAACAGTTGGAAGGAATAGCCTGCTCCCCACCAGGAGATCATGATCTAGCCAATGACTCCATGTCTTACTGGTGGCATAATAATTCCTCTTTGCTGTTAGAGTAGTACCAGCAGTGGGCAAGGACACTATCGTTTTCTCTGGGAGAACCAAACTACCAACCACTTTTCTCTCCAATGAATAGTAGCTCTTCCTACAAAATGCTGCTAAATGTAGAGCTGGAAGGAGAGAGTTTGGATGCTCGTATGCTTTAGATCCAGAGTAGTCCCCATTTTTATCTCTGTGGTATGTTTTAATATACTTTAAAATCCCAAGGACTAATTCTCTGGGTGGCTTTTGTGGATTTTATAGGGGGATTAAATGAGTCAAGACTGATCAGTTACAAGCGCAGAATCATCTCTAAAGTGAATGCTGGAATTCTTAAATGTGAATTTTAGTACATGTTGGAAATGGTATTTGTCTCTGTAAGCACATTTCTAGAAGATTTTATGTTAGAAGGGAAATAACATTTTGGCTTAGGTAATTCAAATGAATTATCTCAATCTAAAAGAGCTTCTTATACAGACATGGAAAATGAAATTTAACTTGAAGAAACCATTTGAGTTTTTAAAGGAAACCATTTGCTATTTATAGCAATGGCACTGAAATTTTGCAAATAAATAGAACAGTTCTTCAGCTTCCACAGATTCTTATTAAAAATTGGCAGAACTACAAACACATATGTAAATGTGTCAAGATTACTTAGTAGGTTAACAGAACAGAGAGCTTCTCCTGAGGGATTGTGTATGTTGGGTCAGAACGCCTTTGCAATTATTTATGAGTACCCCCAAAGTGGTTTCTGATTGATATCTAGATTCATGAGATAGATCAGTGAATAGAAAAAGTATCACTCATCTGTATCTTTCCAGTTTGTAAAGGTTTACTATCAAGACTCTTCCTTCCACTTCTTGCTCATAAATAATAACGTAAATATTAGGAGTTTATAGCTATATTTGCTTCTCTAAATATTTGATTTTATATTTGATTGTTTCTTTTAAAGCTTTGGCCTGACACCCCAAATAATGCCCTTTCATAACTATTTTGGTGGTGTGGAAGGAAATGAATGTGCGAAACTGACGATTTGGTTCTTTGTTCTGTTCGTGTCACCTATTAGGACAGCTGGGAACCTTGTGTATGTCATTTAGCTTTTCTGGATCACAATTTTCCTATCTAAATCTTGGGGATAATACTACTTTACCCACTTGAAGGAACAGTATTTGGGTAGTGGATTATTTGAATTCCCTGCCGCTCTAAGTGCTAGAGTTTGGTGAGTTCTAAATATCATCTGCAATGGTCTTTCCTCCAGAAGCTGACTGTGGAAACCAGAGGCCTAGCACCCTGATGTCCTACTTGTGGTGGGGGTGGGATGAAGACATGGTGGGAGGGAGAACTTAGTAGGTTATAAATAGACTACTGGAGGAGCCTGACAGGACCATGGAGGTCTTCTTAGTTCAACCTTCTTAAATACAAAATGAAAAAAAGACTCAGGCGTAGTGGTTCACGCCTGGGCACAGGAGTTTAAGACTAGCCTGAGTAAGATTGAGATGCCATCTCTACTAAAAAAAGAAAAACTAGCCAGGCACTGTGGCAGTCACCTATAGTTCCAAGCTTTTTGGAGGTAAGACAAGAGGATCTCTTGAGCCCAAGAATATGATGTTGCTGTGAGCTATGATGCCACATCACTCTACCCAGGGTGACAGGGTAAGACTGTTTCAAAAAAAAAATAAAGGACTCAGGGGGTAAATGATGTACTCAAGATCACATAACAAATCATATAATCACAGTAATAATGAGTCCTCTTCCAACTTTTCTCTATTTTTAATAGCACCACATTTCATAAGAAAAGAAAAAAACACTATTGAAGAACACAGTTGAGTCAAAATTGACTAGGAAGCTTCTGATTCTGATATGTGTAGCTTATCCCTTGTCTTGGCTGAGTGTGATGGGGAAATTGGGCACGGGGTCTGGTGGGGGTGCATGGGGCGAGCAGCTGCCCTTTTCCTCAAGGTAGATGTGGTAAGCAGTTAAGATGCTTGTAGCAGGACAGACCCAGCACAGTTTCCCAGGCACAGCCCCTTTGTGAAAAGGCACAATTAAATTAATGGGTATGCAGGGGTGGTGGTGGTTAGAGGAGGTTGGAGGAGCCATGAAGGACATCCCACCTGTCAAACCTGGATTGGGCTGAAGGGAAATCCTCTTGGTTGGAGAATTCTGATTAGTGGCTTAGCAGGTTCACATGGACCACATCCTCTCTCACCTCTGATTTGTTGTAGAGTTGCTAATGTAAGACTGCAGCTCCCTCTGCTCAAGGTTCTTTGTCTGGGACAGTGTGTGGAGAAATAAGAAATTATTGACTCGTTTCTCATAAAAAATGCACAGAGATCAATTGTCTTTGGTGTTCTCCTAATTATAACAATGGACTTGTGTGCCAGTGGAGACCACCAAAGAAGATGGATGTAAGCAGTGATAGCTTTGCCATCTGTGTGTATGGAGTGGAAGTGGGGAGGGTGTGAAGTGAAAAGATTGGAGCCATCCATGTCCTGGCTCAAGAAAGAACTAGGGGAAATTGCTAAAGCTTGCAGTTGTGAATTCAGCCCTGTGAACATAACCCATCTCCATGATATAAGCCACACTAACTATCCCTTTGGCTAAACATGCTTCACTTATGTAGATGTACTACATTTGCGTCATTTTCTGGTCTGTTGGTAATAATCTATTTCAGAGGCTGTATGAGAATATATTTGCACATTGGTTAAGCTGGTTAGAGGACTAAAGGTCTGGAAACTGAGTGAACTAAAGCTTGGAATGGGTATGTTAAAGTAAAAGCCAAATGAGTCTTTCAAGTGCTTAGTGGATTGTTATCTTAGTGTACTTTGTGGATTAATTGTTGACAAAATAGATTCACTCTCCCAACGAAACCTCATTGCTTATTGCTATTGGAGTGTGGAAATGCAGAGGGAAGAATGGGGTCAGTCATGATATCTCCTGGGTCTCAATTCTGATGCTCTGGACCCGGGAGGTGGCTCTGTGACTTCAGAGAGCAACACAACCAGTTAATGCCAGTGATGCAGCTCACAACTGCTGAGGGCTCACTCTCACAGGAGATGCTCTCCTTAGAGCAGAGCTGGAGGAAGGTGTGCTGAGACTGGAGACCAACAGTGACTCTAAGGTCTAGTTGCCTGTCCTGCTTATCTCTCATTGGTAAATGGCCTCACTTCTAAATTCTTCTAGGCTCACTAGTTCCTGCTTTTCTAGGCTTTCCTAATTACTGATGCTTAAAGCAAATTGGATGCATGTGTATTACTTATACTGTTAATTTATTGTTGTCAGTCCTCATTTATGGCTCCTTTTAGTTAGAAGGCTACTGGTT